TGTCTTAACAGCGCGTTTTAGAAAATACCAGAATACAGACCACTCCGAGTTATTTTATTAGATTATGGTAACGTGCCTATCACGTTGAGGTTGGCTACGCCGGGATTCGTTTCAGCAAGTAGATATCTATATGCTTAAATGGACCTTCTACAGACTTCGAATTATTTTATTATGTCTTGAACTAACCCTACATGCCTGTGAGGGTGTCCTGCCACCCTATCTGGCCCATTTCTTTTCGAATTCCATAGCGTCCTCTGTTCTCCTACTCTTTCTAATACTTCCTTATTTCTAACTTTCTCTATTCACGGTATGCTCATCATTCTCCTGTAACACCACATTTAGAACCATTTCTTCGTGCTCCAGACATACGACTTTAACAATCTTTTTCACATTTCTACATCAACATTTCATGAGCATAGAAGTGACTTCTCTTTGTTTATGGCAACTCGATCCTGTCCTATCCGTTGTTTTAAATCCCTACTGCTCGTTCTATCCTGAATTAGATCATAAAATTACATAAATATCAGCCACTTCTCATGGTGATGTATTTATTCACTTTATACGACCATTTACACCTAGTGTGTTCGTCGTCAACTTTCAACGGACATCGCCGTACATATTAACATTCGTTATCCTTACAGGAGGCCGCTTGTTAGATGAATGTTGCGATACGTAGGTAAACTTTATCAAGTAGGTACCCATCTCCCATGTTCCGTGATGGTGACCTTTTGAAAAGTTTGCTACTAGCACAGCTCGTTAAAACAAGTTCCGATATGAGAACTGAATCTCGTTCATACAAACCAACTGTGAACAGGTTGATGTTCTGTGAGCTGTTAATTTTGTAAAATAATTGCGATCCCGCCGACGGGGTTGTTTTCAAACGAAAACCGAGTTAGCTAATACGTTGCGAATGAGCGAAATTTTATTACGAGAACTCGTACATTATTACTACAAATATTATGCAGTAGGTGAAAGGAATTTATTTACCCGACTTTGCTCAAACATGAGCTACTAACCCAAATGATCTTTCAAGGATTTTCGTCTTTTCTTTTTCGTTTCTTTTTACTTAAAATAGAATATAGCCTCAATAGTTAATTACAGTATTGTGAATGAAATAAATCAATAAATTTATCACTTTTTTACTTAAATCGATCCTCTTAGAACTGACGATAAAGTCACCCAACAGGTGTGACCGCTTATAATGTAATTTTAGTAGTGTGGTTACTTACATTTTTACTTTGAAGTAAATACAACTTGAAAAATATCGGATATAATGGTATAAATGACGTACCGCCGGTAGACTCGGGTTAATGAGGTTCGGGAGGTATGTCAAAGTGCTACGAGACATGTAAAAATTTGGAAGAACGTTCCTCATTCAATTCTAAAACTACTGTAAAAATTACAAATCGATTCACTAAACCGTTAAAAAGTTATTGAAATTTTAAAAAATTGTAATTTTACACGTCATTTTATGGAGATTCGTTAACCGAACAGATTAAATTTATTTTTATTAACAGAAAAAAAGCTACCAGAAATTTCAAACTTTTATAATAAGTAACTTGAACTCTGGAGAATCACTTTAGCGTAAGGTTATTCAAATTCACTAAATGGTTATCGAGGAAAAAATGAAAAATTAGCTGAAAATCTCGTTTTTACTTGATAATATAATGATAATATTTATAATTGTCTGAAATAAATGCAATTTTAAAGTTTTAATTATTATTTAAACATATTAAAAAGTTTTACGCTCATTATTAATAGAGATTGAAACTAAATATTTTTTTGTTTCGAAGTTGAAATCAAGGCATATTCACTGCCAAAAGTCAGTTAAAAATTTTCCATATTATTCGTTATTTTTTATTTTATTCAGTTTTTGGTCAAATTCCAAATTTTCTCTCAAACCATATACTTTTTTTAGTATAGATAGTATTTATTTACCTCATGATTTGCTGCAAAACCTAAATAATCACGAATTTCTAATTTTATGTACTCTTGTCTTAGATTGTACCTCTATCTTTAAAAGGACTTCATTGACTTGATGTATAAATATATTCTTACTAGCCACACACGTACAAGTGTAAGTGTAACAGTCATCCTGCCCTTTTTTTTAATGACTGTAGAATGTAATCTGATCTATGACACGTACCACCAAATTGCTTTTAGGTGAGTGTACAAATCGTTATCATTCTTCAAAAATTCTATGCCGCCATCAAAAAAAGACATAATTACTTACATGGTAACACTATTTAAAATACCGTACAATTTCGTATAATAACTTTCTTTTGAATTAAACATTAATTAAACGTCATTCTCTTTAGGGTTGAACGATTTCTCGTCGTGTAAATGACGTAATTTTGGAAGATTATTAGGAAAACATGTAGGATAAATTATGAAACTGTATCTGATGATTACACTGCCGAAACGTAATCGAATAACTTCGACTAATCAGCTGGCTGAAATTCGCTTGTCAAATGTACAGCACCGGAAATTAATGTTGGTCACTTTATCGGCAAATTGCTAGTTAATTAAGGGCAGGATGCTAATGGAAATTAGCGCAGAATTCGGCTAGCATTTCAATTTTTACGTTCGTAAAAGCCAACGCGATTATCGGAACAGACTATACGAGAGTTCGATATGCTCTCGAACGCTGGGATGACAAGGAAACTCGTCAAAAACAATTGAATGCCAAATTGAATTTAATGTACAGAGTGTACGTTAATATCTTTCTATTTCTATGCATAGACAGATTTGTTGCAGATCTATTCTCTTCACTCATTACCATTTGGCTATGAACGAATGCCGCAGACGGCGATCGATACGGCGCAATAGTATCTTTCATAAAACTCCGGAAAACCCATATATTCACATCGTAAATCAGGCACGGATACGACACATACAGACTGCGTAACAAAAGGGACTTATAGGAAGCTTCAGGAATATTCAGGAGCATTATTTACTGAGATCTGCTCAAACAAATAGAAATAGAATCCCGAAAACGACATTTTGTAAGAAGCTATACCTAAATTGTGTACAATACTTCTAGTATTAAACAACAAACAAAAAACATTTTGAAAGGCATACAGTAGGTATAGGTATGTATACAAATTAGATAGTCAAGCTGTCAACATTCATTATTCAGTAAGTACCAGAAACGCCAATAATAATGGACCTCCGCGCTTCATACAAACGGCGCCTTTGTTTACATGTGTACAAATAAGGGTTAGTTTGTCAATGAAGGATTTTCTCCGTTCATACTCTCAAACCACATTTAATCGACATAGTTTAATGAAAACCAAACAGCAGACTGATCGCAGGGCAAAGTTTGTTATCCGAGTAGCGAGTAATCTGTTGGTCAAGACACTGATCTTACCACGAATTGACACTAAAGATTATTAAACTTATTTTATATTTAGGAGGTTGATACCACTGAAAAATAACAGAGAAAGCTCCTTATTCGCGGGGTATACGTTCCATAAATATGCCGCGAATACAGAAACCGTGGTTATGGAATGATAATTAGTATGGAATCATAAGGGATACGTTCTACGGTTCCAAAATAAAACCAATATGTATCAGAATAAAATCAATTTATTGAGAAATTCGCAATTAAAATTAATCGTCATTTAGGCTTACAAGCTTTAGGCAAGGATTAAAAAAAATTGGTGTTTTTTCTTGTTTTGAATTTTGAAATTAGTCCACTCTGTTACATCTTTTATAAAAGTTGCCTCGGCACGAGCCAACAGTACATACTAAAAAGATGCCGGACGATACATTAAGGGGATTCAGTAGTACACGCGCCGTAGAGTAAAAACATGATTATCGGTTCTAGATATCATGAGTTTAATGTTTGGAACAGAGGTTTGAAATTTTGTAGTAAGATAGATAAAGCTTTGTTCTAAAGCCTGTCGAAGGCCATTTTTTAATTTTTTAATTTCTACTGGAAATACGTGTTTTACAAGAAGCATCAACTTTAAGGACTTGTAAAAGCTTTTAATGACCATATTATTGAAAACCAAAAACGTACCGAGTTAGTGTGAACGTTTGTCTGTTACCATACAAAAAATCACATATTTATATCGCAGCGTTAAATCACAATGTTTATGATAGAAACTTAGGTTTTCGGAAAAATTCACACTAAGCGCGAGCGGTCTATTGCGGTCAATCACCTTGATAAATGACACCGAATCCTTTTCTGTTTACCGATTATATTCGCGAATAATGAAATTTTTAGCCGCGAATACAGGAACTGGGTGGCAAGTCTTCCACCCGCGAATAAGGAAACCGTGAATAAGAAACTTTTACTGTATTGAAAAAATAATTTGATATGTTGCAGCTNGAATGATAATTAGTATGGAATCATAAGGGATACGTTCTACGGTTCCAAAATAAAACCAATATGTATCAGAATAAAATCAATTTATTGAGAAATTCGCAATTAAAATTAATCGTCATTTAGGCTTACAAGCTTTAGGCAAGGATTAAAAAAAATTGGTGTTTTTTCTTGTTTTGAATTTTGAAATTAGTCCACTCTGTTACATCTTTTATAAAAGTTGCCTCGGCACGAGCCAACAGTACATACTAAAAAGATGCCGGACGATACATTAAGGCGATTCAGTAGTACACGCGCCGTAGAGTAAAAACATGATTATCGGTTCTAGATATCATGAGTTCAATGTTTGGAACAGAGGTTTGAAATTTTGTAGTAAGATAGATAAAGCTTTGTTCTAAAGCCTGTCGAAGGTCATTTTTAATTTTTTAATTTCTATTGAAAATACGTGTCCTACGAAGCATCAACTTTAAGCACTTGTAAAAGCTTTTAATGNTTTAGGGAAATGCGAAGATTAGCTCAGGATAGGAAAGAGTGGGGGTACGTGTCCAACCAGTCTTAGGACTGACGACTTTATGATGATGATGATGACATTCTGATGAACTGTTAAAAAGAATTACCGGGCAGGGGTATACCGACTAGTTTTTATTTTGTTTGTTTATTACATGCATACCTTCCTGTTATGTCAACTGCCCTCTGTACTGCGTCAGCAAAAGCCAAGGTGTCTCCCAGAGCTTTTTGGGCGTAAGTCAGATGATGGGCTTGATCTATCATTCCACCTTCCACAAACAAAAAGTATCCGTTATCATTTTTTGACAAGACGCTTATAGCTGCTTGAGTCATTTCTGTCAGACTCGGTTCTACATTTGGATCGCGATCCAAATCGAAACTCATGTGACTGTCAGTAAAAAGCCCTACAACAAAGCCAAAAATTCAGGCTACCGAATACTGCACATACTAACGTCATGGGATACTACATTTAGCAGTAAATACTGCCAGTTACCGAATAAGGTTTGATAGTAAACTCTTACTGACCCAGTAAATTTTGCACTTCGCCTAACTTGACGAGTTGGTTCCTGTTCCAAACGTACTCGGATTTGCCAGTCTTCGATTTGAATTGTTTCCATTTTTCTATCAGATTAAGCCCGTCGAATCTACTCCCTTCCTGGCCCTGTTCGTCAAATTGTCCCCTTGGCAGAAACATCTTCCTTCCACCTCCTAATATGACGTTGAAATTTCTCCCTGTTTCTCCATTGATAAGTTGATAAGCAATGTCACGCGTAATGTTCGGGTTACAACCAGATCTTTTTACCTCCACATCGTTTTCCCAATTTCTATCGGCCGTATATGCGTACGTCCCTTTTAACAGAAAGATATACTGTGATTAAATAAAAACGGACAAACAGACACATGAGTGATCGTACAAGGGTTCCGTTTTTCATTCGGACGTACGGAACCCTAAAAAGGTACCTAATATATATATTAGGGTGCTTCAAAGAAAATTTTTATTTTTTTTTTCTAACTCTTACCCCCTCAAATGTTTCTATTTGATGTAACAAAAATCCTCGCCAAACATGAGCCCTATAGCTCAAATCTAAGGGGTCGCTATTTTTATTTTAGTTTCCCATTTAATTAACAGAGGAAAATTTCTTTTTTGTTTTAAAATGAATTTACACATAATTTACGCAATTTTTTCTACAAGCCGTTTCATATTCTCAAAGTTGAGTCTTTGAGCTTTACAAAACTCTAAGACAAAGTATGATTATCTTTACAAAAAGACTAATTACAACCATTTAAAAATTACTAAATTTTGAAATTTGAAAAAATAGCTTGCAATTATTTTTTTTTGCATAATCCTCAAAATTTTAATTCAAACTATTAGTCAGTACTGTATTTTTATATATTACAAATTTCAAAAATGGTTCTCAGTACGTAGTGTAGGTGGCAGCACACATGATAATAATAATAGACGGTTGCTCGAGTAGCGCCAAACTGAACTCATTTGTTGGGCAATCTGCAGAAATGGGCAAAAAAATATATTAATTACACTATCAAATAAGGAAGGAACTAAACACTCCTAAAAATATACAACGAAAAGCAAGTAAATAGCTGAATTATAATGGGGACAACTGTCATTTCACATCATGACCCCAGATCATGCATGACATAAAGGCCAGCAATCAGAGATGTACGATGTCAATTTATGTGGACTATAGATATTTGAAGAAATGAAATACCGTAGATGCACGTTATGGTTAATTGAAACTGTGAACAAGAGATAATTGGTAAGACGAATAACCCTTAAGATCAATATAGAGCAACTAATATTACAAATGGCATGCATTCTCACCTTAATTAACTGCAGAAAGTAGCTTTTAAAAGGTCCACAGATCGAATGAACAAGCAAAATCCAGGAGGAATACCACTGCAGACTATTTGTTGTTTTAGTTGTTTCCAAATTAATATCCAGATGCCTCCTCCTCACAGGTTCAAAACTATGTTGCAAGGGTAAGACGTCAAAAGCATCAGCTCTTTCAGTACCATCAGAATTAATTCCTTTTCACTTGGACAATCTATAGAAATAGGCAAGAAAATGTTGTTAATTACAACTTCTAAAGCATGTAAATCAGTAATATTTTAATGTGGCGATGTGGTGTTAAAGTTAGAAGGTAACTTTTGCACTGATGGAATGGCCAGCTCCACATTTTGCTTCTGCCGCTTCTAAAACGTTGT